TTGTTTGCTATTTTAGTTAGACTTCTGTATGAATCTTGATAATTAGGTAACTCATAGATAATTCTGCTGCAGAGGACACAGGCACAACAGGCTTGAAAAGGAGAAGAAAGCCTTCAGAGAAGGTATTGGAACAGCAAGCTGAGAAGGTTAAGAAACCCCCACTGAAGACGAAGCCATCTGGTAAACCTCAAAACTAAAAGAATGCCTGCAAAACATTTAAGATGTTTTGGATAGTAACTTCCAGCTATCGAACATCTTCAAGTTTTTTTTTTCTTGTTGTTGAAAGGCCTCATGTGGTCACCTTTCCTGTTAGAATGGGTGATACATCACTCAAACCTTTATTTATGTCCATTTGAGTACTATGTTTAACTCAAGAGTTAGTATGCCTATGAGCATTCCTTGAAATGTTCCTATGAAGTATGAACTTAAGTTCTAATGGATGTTGTGTTTAGCTTAGCTCTTGGTTCAATTCCTTTTGTCGATCTGAAACCTTCCCCCCTCCCCACTCTATCTCTCTGTGCCTTTCATGTGAAGAGAAAAAAGTTTTGTGTTATTAATGTGAGTTAGAATTGATGTTTGATCAGAGGCGGACCCATGTGGTGTGTTCGGGGTGCACATGCACCCGTTAACTTTGGAAAAAACTGGTATATATATGTCTATATACTTTGAAGAACTAACTTATATTTTAAAAAGGGGCCCCTCCAACATATTTGTTGGATTGGATCATTTGGTTAGTCATCAGTGTGCGCCCCTTGGGCTCTTGAGTCTTGGTGCATGACTCATGTTCGAATCTTGGCTGCTACATTAGTTTTTCGTTTTAAGCTAACAGTAAGAAAAATGCATAAAATATGTATGTGGCAGGTTTCGAACATGCAACCTAAATTATGTGGTGCCCTGACCGCCAGTTCATGGTGCGAGTCTCACCCTATTCTACTTTTCTTTTTTAAAAAAAAATTATATATACATTAGGACATCAGTCTCTGAGACGGTGTTACGTGACATGCTTCAACAAACGTGCATCTGTCTTTTGTGGTGCTCCTGTTATCTTCGAACCTAGGTCTGCCTCTGTGTTTGATGATATAGAAATGAAACTATTTTGAAACTGTTGTCTTTTGTTCAATTGTTTTCGTTATTAGGTGTTTCTTGAATTGCCACTCAACTCTCAAATACAGATTCTTTAAATTTTTTTCTTTTTGTTCTTTCTACATGACACCATGTATATAACTGACCTTTGAAGGTGGAATATTATTAGCTTGTGCCTTTTGATTTGTCATTGCATGACCTTCACTTTTTTCTGCGAAGGACTAAACTTGCCCCATATTTGATGCCCATAATTCACTATATACCCTCCAACTTTAGCTTACTCTTTCGGCATTAAAATATTTTTGAAACGTTCAAATCTTCCAATTTCTATGTAATATTTTTTGTTTTATGCTATCTATTTCCTAACCATTTCTTTGTTATGATACATTTACATCACGGTGCATGAGCTTGTGTCAACTTGTAAACAAAGAATTTACAGAGGTTCTTTTAATAGAAAATTTTACTTGTTTTTCTAATACAGAGGATTAATCTTTCCTCTCTAAACATGATCTTTATTAAAACGTAAACAACAATAACATACCCCGTACTCCTACCTAGGCGGTAGAGAGGTTGTTTCCAAAAGATCCCCGGCTCGAGAAAAAACAGTTCAAAGTAGTTTGGTAAACAAGGATAGAAAATATATCCAAAAGTCAAGAATCAACCAACTGGTCTTTGATATACTCCCTCCGTCCCTATTTACTTGTCCATATTTCCTTTTTTAGTTGTCCCTATTTAGTTGTCCATTTTGACAAATCAAGAAAGGACAACAAATTTTTTCCTATTATACCCTTATTTACACTTCTTGAAAATTGTAAAAGTGTATGTTGTTTCCCTCCAATTTATTTCACTTTAATTCAAATAAGTGGTTGTAATTTTGAAGTGAAAAGTTGTCATAAGGGTAAAATTGTAACTTCACTGTGCTAATCATTGTTGCCTTAATCTGTGTGCCATTTCTAAAGTGGACAACTAAAAAGGGACGGAGGGAGTATTAACATAAAATATCTTTTTTTTAATTTTTTTTTTGAGGATAGACATAAATTATCTTTCTATACTGGTTGAAATTACCTTTATTTATTAGATACTATTTACGCATTATTTTGAATAAAAGTTTTGATTTTAGTATAAGATATATATACTATGGTTTTTGAAGTATAAATGCTTAGAAGTACCAACATTTAACTTCTAGTGTCTTTAGGGAATGCAAGTAAATTCTCTTATTCACTAAGATAAGGAATTGAAACAAATTAAAAGTTTCTGAAAACAAGCTAATTGGATCAGTTTGAATACTTGATTCAGTAAATTGTTAAAGTGATTGAGTAATTTACCTGTAAAATGTTAGTTATGCAGAGAAGAATTGGAAATATATGTTTATCTTATTATAAGGGAAACAAATTAATTTTGTGACTCAAATAATTGATTTCCTATGTAGATATTTCACCTGTAGAAATATGTTTTCTATAGAATTGTAAATATTTGTTTTCCGGATATGGCTGCAAGTATCCGACATGGGTGTGGATTTATAATTATCACATAGATTTTACGATTTGCTGTTCGGATTAGAATATGGGTACTGCCGTACTAGTGTTCGGATACAACTTACAAGAATTAATATACTTCTGTTGATAAAGATAAGTATAATATACTTCCCTTATTTTTGGATTCCTGGAATCCGTATACAACAACAACAACATACCCAGTGAACTCCCACTAGAAAAAGAAGGAATTTAATCTGTATACATTTCCTTAAGGTAAATCATTTAGATTTCCATCAATTCATAAGAATAATGTACTTCCCTTATTTTTGGATTCCTGTGATCGGTATACAGTGAAATCCCACTAGAAAAAGAAGGCTAATTCCTGTAATCCATATACATTTCTTTAAGGTAAATCATTTATATTTCCATCAATTCATAAGAATAATATACTTTCCTCATTTTTGGATTCCTGTGGTTCGTATACAACAACAACATACCCGGTGAATTTCCACTAGAAAAAGAAGGCTAATTCCTGGAATCCGTATACATTTCCTTAATGTAAATCATTTAGATTTCCATCAATTCATAAGAATAATGTACTTCCCTTATTTTTGGATTCCTGTAATCCGTGTACAATAACAACGACATACCTAGTGAAATCCCACTTGAAAAAGGAGGCTAATTCCTGAAATCCATATACAACAACATACCCCGTGTAAATCCCACTAGAAAAAGGAGGCTAATTCCTGAAGTCCATATGCATTTCCTTAACTTAAATCATTTAGAATTCCATCAATTCATAAGAATAATATACTTCCCTTATTTTTGGATTCCTATGGTCCGTATACAACAACAACAACATACCCGGTGAATTTCCACTAGAAAAAGAAGGCTAATTCCTGGAATCCGTATACATTTCCTTAATATAAATCATTTAGATTTCCATCAATTCATAAGAATAATATACTTTCCTTATTTTTGGATTCCTGTAATCCGTGTACAACAACAACGGCATACCTAGTGAAATCCCACTTGAAAAAGGAGGCTAATTCCTGAAATCCGTGTACATTTCCTTAATGTAAATCATTTAGATGTCCATCAATTAATTCGTGGTGTGTTTAATTTAGTTTTGTATTACAACAAGACAGATTCATTTGTGTATAGTTTCTTGTATAATTACTTCAGTTAGTTCAAGCTTTATTTGCCATTGATAGTCATTCTGATCAAATTAGTTTGTATACTTATTATAGCTACAAATAATTCATATGTTATCAATTTAGTAAGTCAGTAATATCGACATCCAAGTCATTTTGTCCCTTAGTTTTTACGTAATCAATCATTTAATATTGTTGTTTCCCTCTTTCATTCATGTTGCTCGGATCCTACAGTAATGTAGCCACCTCAGTGTAGGGTCCTTCAAAAATGCAAATTGTATCCCACCACTCGCCAATGAAGCTGAGTGGTAACTAGTGAAATCATGATCATATAATTAAATCAAATATAGGTCATAATTACAAAAAAGTGACCATTTGTTCAACTTATGAAATAGGAATCGAGTTAATTTACGTTCTTGACTAATGATCTAATTTATTTATCAACAATCTTGGTAAATAGTATATTTTGCTTATTGTGAAGGTACCATGTATATATATAATCTTCTTAACTAATATTCATATATATTATTCTTGTCTTTATCAACATAAGTATATTAATTCTTGTTTCCTCTTCAACCTTCCTAAAATACGAATTAATAAACGAGTGTATCCTGTTTCCACTTCATTTTTCTCTTTTTTGTTTTTTCCTTGCACTGATATTTGTGTCATCTCTGAGAATACCTTGTTATTTTGGATCATTCCATATTATGATGAACCTCTACAATTAGGTTTTCTTATATTTTTACTGCATATTGTGACATTTTGCAGGCTAATATTTGACTTAGGCGAAGCATATAAAGAGATCGCTTCACGAGAGGTCACGTTAATTTACAACAGTAAGCTGTGAATTAAGTGTAAACAAGCTAGTGATTCCATCTATAAGTGGGGTTATGGAGTAGATTTGATGCTACCTACTTCTGAAGTTGTCTGGACTTGCACCAATGGACAGATTTTTTTCTAGCAGAGTGGTAGCAATCAATACAGACTCTTAGAGGGACTACTAACTGTTAACATGAACTGACATTAGAACATTGCATTATATTTATCCCCTGCTGACGGAAACAACTGTTAAAGGGACAGCATCTAAACTCTGAAGAACTGGATTGCTTTCAGTTGTAGAGTTTGTTGGCTACTTGTATATACGACATGTAATGGGAAAGCTGAACTGCAAGTTTAGGTGGTGAGGGGGATTTCACCCTTGGCATTGGCTGGGAGGGAAATGCACCAAGTCTCTTTGTAATTGACCGATTCAATTTTTTGATTAACTTATAGACTTGAAAGAATGATTTATTCTTATTTTCTTATATGCACTTGTAAACCCCATTTTCTTTTATTTGCACAAATTAAAAGCATTACAATCCATGTAAATTTTGTACATTTTTACGTAACTCAAGTGTTGGTTGTTTTTACTCAGTGCTCCCTGATCCGATGGAGTAGTAAACATAAACCCCAAGAGCCATAATCACCATCACAGCAGCTCCAGCATTGACAAGCAGTTGTCTCTCTTCATTTAGTTCCACTAGGCTTTTCTTCAAGTTGCCAATACTGCCAGGATAAAAAGAGGTACCAGCAGCTACATTACTTGTACTTTCCTTTTCTTTTGATCCTTTCTGCCCAACCTTTTCTTGAAACTCTTCTCTTAAATCTTTAATCTTTTCGGCAACAATCTTTCCACCTGCATCATGGCTCTCCTTCTTTTCAACGTCCTTGCCACTTCTGATCAATTGTGTTCTGTTCTGATCCAAGTTTTCTTCTTTACTCTTCTGAATCTTTGGCTCAATACTCCCAACTAGACCTTCCAAGATTTTCTTCTCATCTTTTGTTTTTTCCCTCTCACCACTAGTTTTTCCTAATGGAGTTGCTCTAAGAGCTGGAAAATCTTTATCTTCATCACCCTTTTGAGTCTTTGATGATTCAGGACTCATCAATTGGTCGTCAAAGAATTTCATTTCCTCTACTCTAGAATCTTGATCTTTGTCAGCATTTTGAGGCTTTGGCAATTGAGCTGTGGGTTTTAAAGGGGTTGGTTTTCTTGGGGGGGCTTGAATAGTTGGGTAAGTTGTTTTGGGAGGAGCATTATCACCCTTTTGAGTCACTGATGATTCAGCACTCCCCATTGTCTCATTTCTTGTAGAATCTTGATCTTTGTCAGCATGTTGAGTTGTGGGTTTTAAAGGAGCTGGTTTTCTTGGGGTTTCAACAGCTGGATGAGTAGTTTTGGGAGGAACATTATCATCCTTATGAGGGATTGTGGGAGGGGATTGTTTTGTGTGTTCATCTAATAACTGCTTTGGCATTTTCCATGGCATAGTGATAATGAGGATTCCATTCTCAAATTTGGCATGGATGCCTCTCATGTTACAGTCATCTGGTGCTTGAAAATCTTCTTGAAATCGATGCCATTTGTTGCCTCCTACAACCCGTTCTCCACGCACTCTCACTGTGTTCTTGCCTTCTGTACTTACTCTAATGCTCTCCTTCATGAAACCTGCAGGTGAGTTATATTAGTTTCGCGCTCTCTGTACACTGATACAGAACGAATCGATACATCGTATTTTAAAGTATTGTGTTCGTGTGGATAAATAATCAGTAATTAGGGCTCAAATAGGGCTATTTCTACATAAGCTCACCAGGAAGATAAATAATCAGTTTTTCAGCTTCTTCATCTTGATGCCGCTCATAAACAGGCCTAAAATCTTCGTAAACTGGGCGTGCTGCAGGTCCCCGATTAGGGCGATTAGGTCCAGCGCCACCACCTCTTGGTCTCGTTGCCATTTTTTCTTCTTCTTAAGGTTTATTTATCTTGGAAACGGTTATTAGAGTTTGAAAGCTTTGATGAATATTTTGTGGGTTACAACATCTTCCATTTTATATGTGTTGGTTTCAAGAATTGCAAGTTTGGTTTGTGTTTCTTAGAGATGAAACTATTCCAATTTCATTGCTTCAAAATTCTCAGGTTTCTCCAAATGGAGAAGCTAAAGCAACAAAGCTTCTTTTTTTGTGCTCTACTCTTTCCCAAACCTTTCCAATTCATTAAGTTTGGGTTTGAAAAAGTTCAAACTTGAGATTTTTTTAATGAGGTTTGAAACAGATATAATGATAAAAAATTTGAATATTAAAAAATGTATTCATGAGTTAACGAATATGAGTAATACAATGAAAAATAGATTTCACACTTACGCTATTATTCATGAACTCAACAACAATATCTTGGAGTTTTACTTGTACGAGTTGAAATGCCATATTATTGTATCTGATATTTGAACAAGTCTCATTATAAAAATTGTGGCAAGATTTTTTTAAAAAAAATATTAGATTGAAGGGTGGAATTTTACTAAAAATTTTATTTTATATTTATAGTTTGGATAAATACTGAATAATTTAGTGATGGTAGTTAAAACTTAATTATGGATTCGATTAGTGGCTATTTGCCACAATTTCTCCCAGAATTTCAGGTGTTATGGCCCATAAATAGGTCCTGAAAGCCCAATTGAGAACCCTCCCAAGCCCTTCTAAACAAATAATCGTAAGCCCAATTGCGATTTTGAAGGCCCATTTATTCTGTCTTCTTCTTTCTTCATATACAGCAGTGGAGTTCAGATATATACCCATTTATACACATTCACAATGGGGTGAGAGAGAGAGAGAGAGAGAGTCGCCGTCGATCGGAAAATGGAGGATAGCGACGTGTTAGTATCGTCAACTGCACCATTGGCGTAGCATGATTTCCTTCAGCGCATTCGTGATCCAAACTCCTACGATTTCGTCAAATCCGTATCAATCTTCATCTTAGTTAAATCTAAGGTAGCTATATCAATTTATACATGCTACATATAATGTAAAGCTCATTACCTCAGTTGAGTAGCACAGAATCATTATTGAAGAATGCTTCAGTTGAACCTCTTGTTGTTTTCTTCTCGTCAAATCTCTTCAAACCTGCTTGAGTTTTATTGTAGTACAACAACTACACCTCAGTCCCGAACAAGTACCTCAAGTATTTTATGGAGAGAGTTCTGTATGTAAAGTGAAATTAATGGATATTGATTATAAAAAATGAATTATCTATATTGGGAATTTGGGATTCTGGAATAGCTATGGAATGATTGTCTTAGTAATATGAAACTTGTAATCACCTGGTCATCTTAGCATAATTTCTTTGCCATACTTTTCGTGATTTTAAAGCACGTAGATCATGGATGAATTCATGGGCTTTGGTTTCAACTACTAAGTCCTATAACATACTACCGCATATTGAATATTTACATATATTTGATCAGTTCAAATTAACAGAACCAGCTATGCTTGCCATTTTAACTCAACTAGGAACCCGAAGAGGTTTAGGTAGGTACAAGTATGTCCATTCGAGGAAAAATGTTAGTACTAATTGGAATCTTAAGGTTTTGGTTCAATAGTAAAGACACAACTTGAGATATGCAGCTAGGGTGCACATCACAAGTTCGAACACTGCGGCTAACAAGAAGCCTGAAATTTAAGTGGAACATGATAGAGGAATAGACCTATACTCGACCGAGTTTCAAACCTATGATATCTACATGCTGATTTTTTAGTATACTGAAAGATTCTGGATGCTCCATGATATTAATAAATATAAAATCGCAAAAGCATAAGTAATAGAGGGACGTTCCACTGATATCCTTCAGAAACAGATCTACAGATATCTCAACATTGAAGGAACAAAAAACTTCGGATTCTTGAATCTTCTATGTTTTCCCATGTCTTAATTAGAGTTGCTATTGGTACTATGCCTAGAATTACCAAGCCTGATTGTCTCATTTTTCCTTTTATCTCAACATGCTTATATATGTCATACCTTTTCAGTAAAAGGTTCAGGTTGATGTTTATACAAATTTACTCCCAACATATGAAATCAATGGATTGTGTTATTCATGGATATCACATTCTCTATACTCTATGCTTGTGGATGGCTGTAGGCTGCACATCGACTGATTATAAGTTTAGTTGTTGCTATGCTGTTTGTACTTTGTTTGCTCATATTCATATTATTTCAAACAACAGGGACTTTAGAAGTATGTCATGAAAAAAGCTATTTACACGTACATTTGCTTCACTTCCTGAAGATGTGAAAGTTGATGAATAGCTTCATGAGAAAATTACTTTGATTCAACAATATGTTAGGCCTGAGAATCTGGATATCATGCCAACATTTCAAAATGAATCATCATGGTTGGTAAGTGAACTCTGTAAAAACGTAAATTTCTGGTGAGTCATCCATTGATTCTGTTCAAGATATTATGAAATGGATGCAAGTGCAGGAATTTTGGTTCTTAACTGCTACTATTTTTTACTACTAGGATAGGATATGATTTCTCACTTGATTACTCTTGTTGGGATTTGGGCCTGTCACTCATACGATGATGATGCGTGGTTTAAGTAATAAATTACCAGTTTCTATATTTCAGAGCAAAATGCCCGTGTCTTTTGACAGTTTGTTAGTTCAGTAGTCAGTACATTTAACATAATTTTCCCAAACAAAATGTTGTGGGCAAACAGTTTTTCTAATTGATTTTTTTTTCCAGATAAAGCCAGCCATACATCTTTTGTGAGACGTACTTGATCATTCCTCGACCTCTATCATTTACCATGACGTGAGTTTATATATATACACTGTGTGTGGGTGTACACACATTATACACGTACTGACACACACACAATAGTATATGTACATGTGAGTGTGTGTATCTTAGTGGGTTTTTGGGTTTGCTGATGAAAGAAGCAATTTTTTTTCTCGCAACCACTGAAACTTGGGAAAAGATACACATTTCTAGAACAGGTGTAGTTTTCAAATAAAATATTCTTTTGCACAGCTATTTTATTATACTAATAACTGATAAAAGAAAAGGAGTATTTTAAACAAAAATAACCAAGGCAGAGCTAACCTTCTTGTCTTTGTGCATATGTTACACCTTGACAAGATATACACTTTTTACTTAGCATTTACCTCGAGTATTGATTTCTAATATAATTGTATTACTTTAATATTGTTCATTCAATTTGGTAACTTGTTGGTTAAATGTGGACCCAGATTTTCAGAGGTTTGCTGCAGAAGTTTGTAAACTGGGTTTTTAATGGGTACGGCAGTCTGTTTACAGTAACATATCAAGGCCTGGAGTATGCAAAATTCAGAGAATATTTTCAAAGTACCAAAGCGCATACACTTTTTCCTTTATAGAAACATCTTCTTTAGGCTATCCTTTTGAGTTGTGATCTTGATTACAATAAGTATAGGTCTTTCACCCTGCCATTAATTAGCATAGATCTTTCGTGAATATCATTCTGCAATGAGATGTCTAACTATTTCATTACATGCTACACTTTTTACAGCTTGCGCAGAAGGAGCTAACAAAAGATAAATATGTACAGGGGGCACCAAGAGACAAACTTGTGTGCATTCTTAATTGTTGCAAGGTTATCAATAACCTCTTGACTTTTGTTTCAGCAAAGGATAACCCTCCAGTAGCAGATGATTTTCTTCCAGTTCTCATTTATGTCACTATAAAGGTAAGTTAGCTCATTTGCACTGATCTGATATATTAATCTTCACAAGTGAACCATGAAATAAATTTCCAAAAATAGTCTGCCCAACCTGGTTTTGTACTTCCTTTTTCTTTTGATCCTTTCGGCTCAACCTTTTCTTGAAACTTTTTCCTTAAATCTTCACTCTTTTCAGAAACAATCTTTCCTCCTGCATCATGCTTCTCCTTCATTTCAACTTCCTTGCCACTTTCTATCAACTGTGTTCTGTTATGATCCAAGTTTTCTTCTTTACTCTTTTGAATCTTTGACTCAATACTCCCTACTAGACCTTCCAAAATTTTCTTCTCATCTTTTGTTTTTTCCCTCTCACCGCTAGTTTTTCCTAATGGAGTTGTTCTAAGAGATGGAAAATCTATATCTTCATCACCCTTTTGAGTTTTTGATGATTCGACATTCATCAATTGGTCGTCAAATAATTTATTTTCCTTCACTCCAGAATCTTGATATTTGTCAGCATTTTGAGGCTTTGGCAATTGAGCTGTGGGTTTTGAAGGTGTTGGTTTTCTTGGGGCGTCTTCAGTAGTTGGATAAGATGTTCTGGGAGGAACATTATCACCCTTTGGCTCAATACTACCTACTAGACCTTCCAAGATTTTCTTCTCATCTTTTGATTTTTCCTTCTCACCACTAGTTTTTCCTAATGGAATTGTTCTAAGAGCTGGAAAATCTCTATTTTTATCACCCTTTTGAGTCTTTGATGATTCGGTGCTCATCAATTGGTCGTCAGAGAATTTATTTTCCTTCACTCCTGAATCTTGATCTTTGTCAGCATTTTGAGGCTTTGGCAATTGAGCTGTGGGTTTTAAAGGGGTTGGTTTTCTTGGGGCGGCTTCAGTAGTTGGATAAGTTGTTCTGGGAGGAACATTATTACCCTTTTGAGTCTTTGATGATTCAGCACTCCCCAATGTCTCATTTCTTGTAGAATCTTTATCTTTGTCAGCATGTTGAGCTGTGGGTTTTAAAGGGGTTGGTTTTCTTGGTGTTTCATCAGTTGAATGATTGTTTCTGGGAGGAATATGATCATCCTTCTGAGGGATTCTGTGAGGAAATTGTTTTGTTTGTTCATCTAATAATTGCCTGGGCATTTTTCGTGGCATAGTGATAGTGAGCATTCCTTCCTCAAATTTGACATTGATCCTTTTCATGTTACAATCATCAGGTGCTTGAAAATCTTCTTGGAAGCGACGCCATGTGTTGCT